GTTTGAGGGGGACGTTAAAAAATAACGTTAAAAAATGTTCGGGACGTTCGAGAACTGGTTTACGTACCCGAAATCGGAGCTTTTCGTCGTCGCCCCCGCGGCTTTAAAAGCTAGGTTTTAGCGGTAGAAAAACTTTGCATCGAACAGGCTCTGATTACCAAGTGTGAGGATCTAGGATCGAGCTCAGAAAAGAGTGTTTGAATTGAATGATCACCTGGGTACAACACGAGGCTATATATAGGCTCGACACAAGGCCACGTAACCAGGTGTTACGCGAAGGTTCCGCGGGTCGCGAAGCGTCCCGAACAGATCCTTCCCGAATTCGGCAGAAGGCAATTCGGTGGAAACCGAAAAGCCAGAATTCGGTGCACGCAAACTAGCTTGGTGCTATAACTATAATAAAATATAGGAAAGCACCTAGCCTAGGAAATCATGAGAAGAAGTGAACGAGAATGAACGAACTATGAATGAAGTGAGTACAAATATGAAACCCTAATTGGGTTGTACCCCCTATGGGATACCCGACTATAGCCTACACAACAGCATAAGCTATAATGTTCTGACACACCCCCACATGCAAAGTGGGGGAGAACAAGGGGTCACAAGACCAGTCAAGCAAAGCAAAGCAAAGCTCAGGGTGGATCACAAAGTAACCACATATTCCGAGCACAAGTTCAAAGGCCAGAAGGCCAGTTCACATGCAAGATCACATATAGAGATATACAAGAGTCAAGCAAGCAAGAGCAAGAGTATATATAGGTGAAGGTACAAGCAACATCAAGAAGTGAGCAAGTGAGGCAAGACAGGCACAAGACCCAGCTGCGTGCAGCAACGCTGATGATCACAAGGCGCAAGTGCCTTGGTGAAGACATCAGCAGTGTTGGCCTCAGAGGCCACGTACGCAAGTCGCAACTCTCCACGCTGCTGTAGCTCACGAGCAAGAAAGTAGCGGAGAGCAATGCGCTTTGTCCTGTGCTCCAGTCGCTGCTCTCGACACAAGGCCAGCATGGCCTTGTTGTCTACGTACAGGACTGGAGGAGAACGCGGCGGCTCTCCAAGGTCGGTCAGCAGGTAGGTGAGCAGCGAAGCTCCTAGGCAGCCATAGCCCCGGCGTAGATCTCAGCCTCACAACTGGAGCCGAGAACAGAAGACGAGCGGGTAGCCCGCCACGAAACAGAGCCGGAACCAAGGCTGAAGGTGTAACCCTGTGACGACCGCTGCGTAGCCTGGTCGTCAGCCCAAGAAGCGTCCGCGTGCCCAGTGAGGACCACTGGACTGCGCCCTCCAAGCACTAGCCCCATGCCCGACGTACTGCACAAGTAGCGCAACACCCTCTTCGCTGCAGCCATGTGCACTGGTCGGTGTCTCCCAGGAGCAACATAGCGTGCGAGAATGCTAAGAGGGTATGCAAGGTCAGGTCGTGTGCAGGTCATCAGGTACATGAGGCAGCCAACAAGCTCTGCATACGGGCCACTCGACTCTACGGACTCATCCGAAGGCAGAGTTGAGAGCGAGTGGCGAGTAGGCAGAGGAGTACGTGAAGCCGAAGCGCTGAAGGACCTGCTGCACCATGTGTGACTGAGTCAAGGTAATGGTGCGGCGTGCTCTGTCCCGGGTGATCTGCAAGCCAAGGTAGCTGCGCAGTTCACCCAGGTCAGTGCACGTGTGTCTCTTTCGCAGCTCGGACTTCACGTAGGCGAGTCCAGCAGTGTCAGCTGTGGCAAAGACCAAGTCGTCGACGTACACGACAATGTAGAACGGCGGCAGAGAGGTGTCGGTGCGCAGAAACAGCGACGGGTCGGCAGTAGAAGGAGCAAACCCAAGTGCCGCCAGCGTAGTCCTCAGTGTGTCGTGCCCCTCACGTGGCGCCTGGCGGAGACCGTAGACTGGACGCCGGAGACTCCACTGGGTACCAGGAGGGAAAGACCCAGTGAAGCCAGGTGGGCGACGCAGCCAGATCTCCTCGTGCAGGCTGCCCTGCAAGAAAGCAGTGCTGACGTCGAGAGAGTGCAGCTCGTAGTCACGGTGAGCAGCAACGTGCAGCAGTAGGTGCCTGTGGACTTCCAGGAAGCCATCTCTGCATCCATAGCTGCCTGCCACTGAGAGGAGTAGGGACCCTCTATCGCCTCCGCGTAAGAGCGCAGAGTCGGGATGTCTAGAGCATCCGGGTCTCCCTCAGGGGCTAGCAATACAGACGCGAGATGAGGTGAAGCGGCGGCCAGACACTGGAACTCCTCCTGCCTGTCCTCAAGTACGTCCGTGCCAAGGGCACACTCACCCCCGACGGACGGAGGACAGACAAACTCAGACTCAGCGACAAGACTAGCAGCGTAGTCTAGACGACAGCGCGCAGCAAAGTCGACGAGCTCAGTGACAAGGGCAGACGCAGCAGAAGACTCGAAAGAAGGGTCAGTGACAGCAGTAGCAAAGAGACGCGTGACAGTAGGACTGGCAGCACAAAGAGAGTCCGACTCCGGGTCGGCAAGAGCAGGAAGAGAGGAAGCAGGAGGAGAAGGCAAAGGGGCACGCAGAGGAGCAGTAGACGGACGCAGAGACATCCGGTGCGTGCCAGGGACAGGAGGAGGACGCTGACGTGAACCGCGACCCCTAGTGCGCGCAGTACGAACAGGCGACGCAGGACGAGACGCAGGCTCACGACGCTCAGTAAGACCTCCAGTCGGACCAGCGTAGGGAGAAGGACCAGGCAAAGGGGAGGCAGGCTGTAGCTGTGACTGGACAGGCTGTGGACCCTCTAAGGGAGGAGAAGGAGGACCAGGAGAAGGTGTAAGACCAAGAACCTGCTGCAGGAGCGGAACGAAGTACGGTCGGGGCCGCGTGGCGACTCCAGAAACAGCAGGGACAGCACCAGTACCCCCAGCAGGAGTACCCGCTCCAGCAGCACCTCCACCAGCACCTCCAGTAGCTCCAGAACCCCCAGCAGCACCTCCAGAAGCCCCAGAACCCCCAGCAGCACCAGGAGCACTGCCAGCCGGACCGCCAGCGGTAGTCTCAGCGCCAACACCCTCAGCAGTACCAGCTCCAGAAGAACCCTCAGGCCTAGCAGCTCCAGTACCCCCTGTACGAGCACCTCCGGGACGCGCGGCAGCAGCACCCTCTGCAGCCGAAGAACCTCCAGCACCAGCAGCATGCCTCCAGCGCCGGGCAAACCACTCACGCAGCTCCTGTGGGGAGAGTGGCTCTCGGCGAGACGAAGCACCTCCAGGCGGAGAACCTCCAGGCGAAGAACCTCCAGGCTCAGCACCCTCAGGCAAAGCACCTCCAGGCAGAGCACCCCCAGTCTCAGCACCCCCAGGCTCAGCACCCCCAGGCCCAGCTGTTGGTGTAAGGGCCTAATAAACTCAAGCTATTAAGACTTTATCAAACTTAAAACCTCTCCTCGGGGTCACCTCCAAGGGTCCTTGGGTGCCTGGTACAAGACCAGCCCCTATCCTCGGGTCCGAGTTTGTAGAGAGAGGGATCAAGAGGGACTTAGTCAAAACAGCAAGAGTACCTTGAACGTCGCGCAGCGTATCGTGCAGACCGTCGACCGGATTAAGCTGAGAATTTGCTATATCGAAGCTCACTCTAAGAGCTTTAAAATAAGCCAAGTTGCCTCGCGAAAAGTTCTGCCATTACGAAGTTATGGCTCGGACAGCGTTAGCCTAGCGTTGGAGTGCTAGCATACTAGCGTTGACTCGGGTAGCATTCCGCCGTCGCATCGCGTAGAAACGAAATTCCAGCAAGGAAGGAATTCGCTTGAATCAATTTCACTATGTCCAGGTACAAACAGAGAAGGAATAAATAGTTCTAGCTAGCAAGGACCTTGGGAATGAACCTGAGAACAACCAGGGATCATCCCAAATAATTCCAAGCAACAGAACCAACCTGGCTGGACAAAATAGCAGGTGGTAGGTTGGTAAACAACCTCTGGTTCTGTTTTTCCAACCTGGGAAAACAACAACCAGGTTCAGGTCCTAAAAACAGAACCTGTTTTGTCTTTGCCCAACAAGCCAAATGCTGGTTCCGCTGGTTTCCCCTGGCCCTGTAGCATGCAGATACAGACAAACAACATCCTACCTTCACCTAAATTGTACCCCTATAGTGCCTGCCCTGCTACACTATAGTCAACCAAACAAAACAGTACAATTTCGAGTTGGATAGAACTGAATCTGCGCAATCAAGTAAGTTGAACCGCAAAGCTTCCATCTTGGGTTCCTTTGCGAGCTCGTCCTTTCTGCTTGTACTGTTCATAGCGCGTACAATGTTATGCCGAAGCGCACATTGTGCGAGTACCTGCAAATGCTTCAAGCGAAAATTGCGAAAGCAAACAAACACACGAACATACCATTCACACGCAAATGCATTCGCATACGCATACTCGTACAATCAGACGGCAGGATGTCGTGCAATGTGAATTTGCACCCAACACACTCCCCCTCAGCCTGCCGGCTGCATCCCCATCATTCCATACTAGTTTATGCTCATTCCACTCATGCGCACACAACGCCAATGAGGCTCATCCGCAAGCCTCTTGGTGAGGAAGTCTGCTGGCTGCTGGTGAGTCTTGATGTAGATCGGATTCACCGTCCCCCTCTTCACCTCCTTACGCAGCCAGTGCCACTTGATACGCATGTGCTTGTTCAGCCCATGAAGCACAGCGTTCCTGGCCATCCCAAGAGCTCCTTTGCTATCACAAAACAGCGGCGTAGCAATCTTTTGCTCCTGGCCAATCTCCTCTAATAGCCTCCTCAGCCAAATCACCTCCTTCACCCCATGGAACATCGCCATGTACTCTGACTCGACGGAAGAGAGTGCTGTCTCCGTCTGCTTCTTGGACCTCCAACTAACAGGTCCTCCCCCTACTACGCAGATGTATCCTCCCACAGATGAAGAATCTTCCTTCTCAGAGGCCCACGTAGCATCGGTAAAGCAAGTGAGAAAGAGCTTGCCTTCTCCAAGCCTCTCCCCCTTCTCTTTCAGCACCTCAACCCCTTTCTGCTTCACCTGTGCAGATGCGGAATACTGAACTCCAATGCTTGGGTGAGAGTTCAGATACTTCACCACACGCTCAGCTGCATCCACCTGCTCCTCTGATGGATTCTGCACCACCCTAGCCAGCTGCCAACCGAGAATGAGATGTCGGGCCTCGTGTGAACTGCTGCATACAAGAGGCTGCCCACCAAGGACTGAAATTGCTGCTGCTCCTCGGCTTCAACCCCTTCATCTTCTGCAGCTTTCACAAGCTTGAATTCTGCTGGCAGGGGAGTTGCGGTTCGTAGAGAACGAGGGGAGGTAGAGAACAGACAGGGTGCCAGAGGGAGTCGCCGGACACGGAAGGACTGTGGAGAAACGAGAGAGGACAGGACCCCCAGAGGGGTCAGCCAGGGACACCGCAACCGGCCGACTAAGCGGCGCGAGAGTGGTGCGGTCCCGAAAGAAGGAGCGAGACGCCCCAGAGTCCAGGGTGAAGGTGTGAGAGGCCGAAGCCGACACAGTACCTGAGAGTGCAGACTCACCAGTACCTGAGAGTACAGACGCACTGGCACCTAGAGCAGCAGCCTCACCAGTACCTAGAGCAGCAGTACCAATGCCCGGGTCGGGCAGGAAACACCGGTAACAGTCACCCTCATGACTAACAGTCACAGCATACATGGCAGCAAGGATAGCATCAAAGTCAAGATAAAAAATAGCTACACCAGCCCTAGACAGCTCTCCCCAGCGGGGGATCTTAGAGGCCTCCGGAAACTGCTGGCGCCAAGCGTCTGTCAGGCGGCTAAAGCAGCGGCGGGCGGAGTGGGCGCCCCCACACTGCTCACCCACGCGGTCGCCGGTGCGAAGGACGTAGGTGCAGGGACCAAACGCCCCACCAGGCTGACGCTGCGAGTACTACTCACGGAGCTGCTGAGGAGCGGGGACGTCGCGAGAGCGCTGCTGCTGCTGCTGGTGTTGCTAGTACTGCTGGCGCTGACCACCCCCAGTGCTGCTCCGCTGGGACGAGTCACTCCGACCACCTCCACCACCGCCACCCCCGCCTCCGCCGCCACCGCCGTCACCGCCACCCTCGCCCCCGCCGCTCCCACCGCTACCTCCACCACCACCTCCGCCGCCGCCTCCGCCTCCACTGCCGCCACTAGTACCTCCACTCCCGCCACCACCCCCACCGCCACCCCCACCCCCCCCGCCGCCCCCACCTCCTCCGCCACCGCCCCCGCTAGCTCCACCCGCTCCCTTGCCCCCCTTGCCCCTGCCAGAGCGGCGCCTACCGCTGGGGGCAGACGCCGCACCGACCGACTCTAAACCAACAAGGTCGGCCGCAGCAGCAGAGGCGACAGAGGGTAATAGGGGGGAAGGAGAACACCCCTCAAAGATGGGGGTGCGAGGGTCACCACGAGAGGCCCCTACAGCGACTATGCTCTTCTCGGCCGCTAGCAGGGACTTCTCGAGGAGGTCGACAGTGAGGGTGGTGGGACAGACAGAGAGAAACTGGTCCCTAACTACACGAAGGGACTCAGGGAGACGGGTGACGAGAAAGTAGAGAGTGATGTACATGGGAGGGGGGTTTGCGGCGCAGAAGTCAGCAGGAAGCGCAGCTCGGTAGCGAGTGTCACTAGCGCGGAGGTGGGTAAAGAGATCAGCGACTCTGGGAAAGGCAGCAAGGTCAGGGAAGAGGTACGGTAGCATGAGGCGGCTCAGTGTAGCAGAGGAGGGGGAGAAGTAGCGTGCAACTACAGCGTCGTACAAGGCCTGAGCGGTCTTGCACTGACTAAAGTGTGCACGCTCGGAGGAAGGGAGGTGGCGACGCACAGCAAGACGTGCAGCGGCATCGCGTGAGGCCCACTTGGAGCGAACAGTGGGGTCAGCATCAGCAGGAGGGGCAGGGATAGCTCAGCAGCACAGCAACACGGCAGTACGGCAACTCCGCCGGCCCAGGAGCAGCAGTAGCCCCACAGGAGCAGGAGCTCGGCACCTCAGGCGGCTCGGGCGGCTCGGGCGGCTCGGGCGACTCCGGCGGCTCGTGCGGCTCGGGCGGCTCGGACGGCTCAGGCACTCAGCGGCACGGGCGACTCGGGCGGCGCTGCTGCTCGGGCGGCCCGTGCGGCTCGGGTGACACGGGTGGCACGGGCGGCGCGGTCGGTGTGGTGGGCGGCTCACGGGCGGCTCACGGGCAGCTCACGGGCGGCTGAACGGGCTGTTGCACGGGCGGCACGGGCGGCACGGGCGGCTCACAGATGGCAGCACGGACGGCTGCACGGGCGGCGGCACGGGCGGCTGCACGGGCGGCTGCACGGGCGGCTCACGGGCGGCGGCACGGGCGGCTCACGGACGGCGGCACGGGCGGCTCACGGACAGCCGCACGGGCGGCTCACGGACGGCGGAACGGGCGGCTGCACGGGGGGCTGCACGGGCGGCTTACGGACGGCGGTACGGGCGGCTTACGGGCGGCTGCACGGACGGCACGGGCGGCTCACGGGCGGCACGTTGGGCGGCTGCACGGGCGGGTGCGCGGGCGGCTGCACGGGCGGCAGCACGGGCGGCGCGTCGAGCTGCTGAGGGCGACGCACGGGCGGCGCACGGGCGGCACACGGGCGGCGCGTCGGGCGGCGAGCGGGCGTCGGGCGCTAGGGCGCTAGGGCGGCGACGGGCGGCGCTCAGGCTCGAGGGCGGGCGGCGCTCAGGCTCTAGGGCGGGCGGCGCTCAGGCTCTAGGGCGGGCGGCGCGCGGGCGTCTAGGGGCCGTTAGGGCAGATCGAAAAAAAAGGAAGAGAAAGGGCCCGGAGCGCGCTCCGGGCAGAAAAAAAAGTTACGAGGTAGTGGTGGTGGGCCCTAAGCACAGTTCCCACAGGGGAACCTGCTCGATACCATGAGAAGAAGTGAACGAGAATGAATGAACTATGAATGAAGTGAGTACAAATATGAAACCCTAATTGGGTTGTACCCCCTATGGGATACCCCACTATAGCCTACACAACAGCATAAGCTATAATGTTCTGACAAATCAAGCAATTCATGCATGCATATAATTATCCTATGCTATAAATAGCATAATAAAGTAAAGGCAAGCAAGCATAGCTGGCATAAGCCGTCGTACTCTCACAGTTGTGAGTTGCTGTGAAGATTTTGCTTTGTGTAACTGCGTCTTTCCCAATGTATAGGTTTTGCAAGTAGTTCCAAGCGACTTATGTTGGTGCGTTGACGTTGACGAACGAACGGATGCCAAGCTGCTCCATCGGTGTGAGATTTCGTATCAGCACCGTGTAAGCAGTCAGTGACTCACTTTTGTGTTTCTGTTATTGTGCCGCTGTGCCATTCGCAAAATATGGCGTTGAGCCGTTGAAGCGGTGCCAGATGTCGGCTCAGTGAATGAGAAGCTCGAGCTCGAAACCCCAAGCATAACAGTCTTTACCATTGAACGACATGGTTGTCTTGAAATTTGTCACATTGCTGATGCTAGTCATAGTCCTCATCATTAAACCTTCTTCCTGCTATTGTTGCACTCCTTCATGCGCTTGTACTGGCGAGTGAGGCGATGAAGAACCAGCTGCTGTTGTAGTGGGTGGCTGAGTCATTGCTCTAGTCGTAGTTCAAAGGTCTAATAAATCGAAGTAGCTCTCACACGATTTTGGAATGAATCCTGTAATAAATGTTTGAAGGATCGAACACTCTTGGATTGTGTAGACGTGTACGCATAATGGAAGTAGTAATAGAATGATTGTTGAATAAAAAGTTGATTGATAATAGAGAGCAATACAAGAGAAGCTATAGCTAGGCGAAAGTACATGTTTGCTAATATAACTGTTCAGTGACTTAATGAGATTGTACCCTTTCGCTACAGTAAAGCTCTGTTAGCTAACGTCATCATATTTAGTGAAGCGTAACTAACTAAGGCTTGACTCGCTGTTGTAGCTAACGACTTAGCAATTTCTTGAAATATAGAGCATTATTTTTCTCCAACAAATTCTTGTTGAGTGCAATATGCGTTTCCGTGAAGGGTTGCATTTGTGAGTGTTCATAAGTTTCCGTAAGTGAAGGCGAGTGTTCGTATCATTTTGTAAGTTCCGAGATTTCGTGTGCGTGCATGTTATTTCATGTGTTCTGCGAATCATGAGTGTTCGTGAAAGTGTCGTGAATGTTCATGAGGTTGTTCGTGAAGCGTTCGTTTGATTTCGTATGAGTTCGTGGTTTTCAGGTGAAGTTTGATAGTTACGTTTTCAGTTGTTTTAATGAGCTCGTTTGTAATTTCTTGTTTGTTTATAAGGCTTAGGGGATTTCGCCCCTAGCGAGGTGGTCAAGGCTCGAGGCCATGAGCCCGAGCACTGCTGCGCATATTGCGCAATCATGGGAGTGTGCCAATCATGGCACACGCGCGGCCTGAGGCAGCAATTGAATTCCTCGCCACACGCGCGAGTGTAAGAGTGAGGTGGCGTGTGGGAAAGGACGAGGGCACGTGGATCCACAATTGAATCGTGGAACCCTCGAGCTGTTTGTCCTCATTAGCCGAGAGGAATTTCGCTACGGGGTGTTTCGTGAGGCGACTTGAGCGGGAGTGATTTCGGCGACTTTGTAACTTCGTCGCGTAACTGCGCGATTTCTTCAGGAGATTCCGTGAGCTGTTACGAGTGGTCGCCACGAAACACCATGAGCGTCCACGAGGCTTCGCAAACAAGTATGGCCCACATAAACGTTCGTAGGCGAGTATGTTGCCAGTAGTTTCGCATGGAGAAAGTTGGCAATTCGGAGTATGGTTCTAGTTGTCATTTCGGTGGGCTGATTGCTTGTGCTTTTGGTGGGTTAGTATAAACCTTTGCTAGTCTTTGTTTGTGACCAATATTTTGTCAATGAAATATTCTCTATCATCGTATTGACGTGAGGGGAATTATCTGCACATGAGCCAATCAGTCAATTAACGCTGCGCAACGGAGTTTGTGACTACTCTAGAGCACACGATTAATTTCACACTTGGGAATCCCTCTACAAACACGGACCCTTGGTTAGGGGCTGGTTTTACCAGGCACCCGAGGACCCTTGGAGGTTACATCGTGGGCATAACTGAGTGGTGATTTAAGTGCGCTTAGAGGTTCTTAGTCTCAATAGTGGTCAACAATTCTTAGTACCGTAATCTCCCGGATAGAGGACCCCCACCCTCCCGTCGAGAAGACCCTGGGTCCGCATTCTGATTCCGGCCTATTCGCGTGAAGTCCCCCATTTTTTTTCGTATAGGATTTTAAGACCCCACTCCCCTCCCCCCTCCCCCCCTGTTCTACCTCCCTTCACGATTTGTTTTTTGCTTTTTGTTTTTTGTTTTTTGTTTTTTCTTTTTTTTAATTTGTTAAATTTTAGTCTAGTTAAATGTGTCATTAGCAGAGGATTACATAGTTAGGGCCATACAACCTACACGTATCTATTTTACTACGACAACCACATCCTTCTGCCTCTCATGGTCGTGGAAGCCAACCTGCTCGTCCTCCTCCTTGTTGTCATCCAGAGCACTGAGGAATTGCAAACGAGAATGAATGAACTATGAATGAAGTGGGTACAAGTACTAACCCTAATTGGGTTGTACCCCCTATGGGATACCCCACTATAGCCTACACAAAAGTATAAGCTATATATGTTCTGACACACCCTCATAGGCAAAGTGGGGGAGAACAAGGGGTCACAAGACCAGTCAAGCAAAGGAAAGCAAAGCAAGCTCAGGGTGGATCACAAAGTCACCACACATTCCGAGCACAAGTTCAAGGCCACAAGGCCAGTTCACATGCAGGAGTACTTATATATATAAGGCTAGACAAGCAAGAGCAGGTATATATATATGTAGCAGGACAAGCAAGGTCAAGAGGTGAGCAAGTGAGGCAAGACAGTGACAAGACCCAGCTGAGTGCAGAAGCGCTGATGATCACAAGGCGCAAGTGCCTTGGTGAAGACATCAGCAGTGTTGGCCTCAGAGGCCACGTACGCAAGCCGCAACTGTCCACGCTGCTGTAGCTCACGAGCAAGGAAGTAACGGAGAGCAATGTGCCTCGTTCTGTGCTCCAGTCGCTGCTCTCGACACAAGGCCAGCATGGCCTTGTTGTCTACGTACAGAACTGGAGGAGAACGAGGCGGCTCTCCAAGGTCAGTCAGCAGGTAGGTGACCCAGCGAAGCTCCTGTGCAGCCATGGCCCCGGCGTAGATCTCAGCCTCACAACTGGAGCCGAGAACAGAAGACGAGCGAGTTGTTGGGTGCAAATTCACATTGCACGACATCCTGCCGTCTGATTGTACGAGTATGCGTATGCGAATGCATTTGCGTGTGAATGGTATGTTCGTGTGTTTGTTTGCTTTCGGGATTTTCGCTTGAAGCATTTGCAGGTACTCGCACAATGTGCGCTTCGGCATAACATTGTATGCGCTATGAACAGTATAAGCAGAAAGGACGAGCTCGCAAAGGAACCCAAGATGGAAGCTTTGTGGTTCAGCTTACTTGATTGCGCAGATTCAGTTCTATCCAACTCGAAATTGTACTGTTTTGTTTGGTTGACTATAGTGTAGCAGGGCAGGCACCATAGGGGTACAATTTAGGTGAAGGTTGGATGTTGTTTGTCTGTATCTGCATGCTACAGGGCCAGGGGAAACCAGCGGAACCAGCATTTGGCTGGTTGGGCAAAGACAAAACAGGTTCTGTTTTTAGGACCTGAACCTGGT